TTTATTTTTCTAATGGGAGTACTAGCTTTTTTATAACTTCTTAGAAAGCCACAATCCAATCCAATCCGAGCCAATCCAACATGACTCATGGTGGCAGCTCATGTGGCATAAAAAATTGAGCCAAATATAGACGCGGCGGCTTTGATGGACTGTCATTTGGTTTCTTTTTATGCTTAAATGTCAGTTTGTTTGTTCGATAAGAAAGAAATCATAGACTTGAGCCATACACGACTCAAATGCAAAATTATGACCCGGCCAGGTAGGAAGCGTTGGGGCAGGAATATGACATTTCATATGCACACACGCACAGGCGACACACCGAACCACTGCCAGCCAGCCAAGATATGAGATATGAAAGCCATGGCCATGATGTATGGCTAACAGACACCAAAAGTTTGGGTAATAAATTTTAAGCGCTTTCGCATAGAGGTCGTGGGCCAAAGAGGTGTGAGAACGAGAGTAGTTGGCCTTAAATTGGATATAGATTTTTGGCAAAAATATAACATTCTCTTTTTGTAGAAGCTACACTTAATAAATTAAAAAGTACGAATGAAAAATGACATATAAATTAAGGCTATCATTTATCGCCGACCATAATGTTTTTAAACGACCCTCGCAGCACGTGCCATATATCACAGGACTATATAGTATAGGCTATAGTGCGCCAGTTGGCAGACCAGGACAGGCCTGGCCAGGCAATTCTAGAAGAAACCAAAACTTTCATTTAATGCGGCTGGCATTAAAAGTATAAAGTTCTGGCAAAGACTTGGCAGGTTGGGAAAAAAAGAATTCCTGCCGCCGATGATTATGAGAAAAATTATATATTTGCGTGTCAGAGGGACTTATATGGACTAGCTTGGTATAGACCAAGTAGGCACATGGATAGTTTTCGGAAAAGTATCACAAAAGGTGGCTGGGGCTATAAAAAGAAGTCGCAAGTGCGGGTCACATGCAAGTCGGTCGCTGTGTATATGAAAATTGTTTTTCCCCCCATTGTTTGGGAAGAAAACAGGAAAGAAAAACTAAAGACATTTGTCACAGATACAACACACATGCAAGCTAGCACAGAGGACAACATGACGTATGGGTAACATGCGATATCGCCTTACAATGCGCCAAACAATCAAAGTGAAATTAAGTTTATATATTTAATGCTACTTACTGCCAGTTCGACGTTCCCGTTCTTGTAATGTTAGTAGTCCCGAAAAGTAGGAAATACAATACGAAATGAAACGAAACGAAACGGAACCAAATTAAAGCCTCAGCCGGCTGGAGAACAAAAGTTTTTCTTTTAGATTTTCACTGATTAATGAGAAAAGTTTTAGTTGGCGATGGCAATGGAAATGCCTGAAGAACTGCGCCAGTTTTAATTACACACACACTGGCACTAAGGGGGGTCGTAAGGACATGGGCGTAGCGTAATTAGTTAGAGTCTCAATCGAGAAAAGGGACTCACTTGACTGCACTTGGGCAGGAGGCAGGACTAACTACAGCCACCCCTGCAGGTGACATTAATTAATTGATTTTTTCCCATCCATAATCCGCTGAATGCAGGATTTAAATACTATCTCTCTGTATTTCAGACACCTCACGTGCCGGGGACAAGTACGAGACCACATCCACTGTCAGTGGTTACACGAAATACATGAAATTAAAAATCCGGGCAGTCGGGCCCAATGATTTCGGGACATATCGCTGTGTGGCCAAGAACTCTCTGGGCGAAACCGACGGCAACATAAAGCTCGACGGTAAGAATTTTCTTCATTGCCTCATTACTGAAGAATTTCGTCAACGGTGTTAATTAATAATAATTATTAATTATTCACAGAAATGCCGACCCCAACAACCGCAATTATATCGGAGATGGCTCTGCTGAACCGCAGCTACGGTGAGAATGCCTTTAATTAACCAAAATCACTTATAGTTGAGTTTTAAAGAGTTAAAGCTGAATAGCTGCGAAAAGCAGACTAATTAGCTAAAAAGCAGTACTCGTACATATTGAGTTCAAAGCCATTTCTCGTAACTCCCTAATTGATTGAAAATCATGCCATAAGCATCACAGCATACATTTTTTGCTTGCTCATGAATTATAAAATGGAATAATGGGTTTTTAATTTTATGCACTGCTAAGCACAAAATCACAGTCAGCACTATACATTAGATTGGTTCATGCAGGGCACAAAGTCATACGTTAAATTAAAATATTAGAATAACCTTCGAACCACACACATCATCTGGAAGACACCCCACTCAGTACTCATTCATTCGCTCCCCGCCTCATTTCAGCTCCATGTTGCATGCTACATCCTTCATCCACTTTTTCATCCAGTTTCCTTTATCCTTTGAGCTCCTTTTAAAACGCTATTAAATGCAAATAAATGCAGAAATTTAATAAAAAAAAATACCTTAGCTTACAATTATGGCTAGCATCTGTGTAAAAATGTATAACTAAATTCTTTTTTTTGTACATTGGTTTTCCTTTCGTACTCCGGGTTTCTTCAACGCTTTTTTTTTAACTTCCCGCATTTGAATATTTCTTTCATGTTTTTGCCCTACTCCAAAAAACAACAACAACATCAACAACAACCTAAACAACAACGACCGCCTCTATTCATACACCGTGTTATCCCGATCTTACCCTGAACTCCACCTCCGTGTCCGCGTCCGCGTCCGGCCTGTGGGTCTCGTTCTCCTCCTTGACTGACGCTTGCTGCATAAAATTAAAAATACGTAAAAAAATGTAAAGATGGCAAGAGACGTCATAGAAATAAATTTGACTCGGCTAACGCTCTGCCTGATTATGGGGTTGAGGAGTGGCGTGACGGTGCACAAGGTAAGTACACAGCATCTCTCCTCCCACAAAGCCTGCCCTCTGGCATTCATTCTCCTCCTCGCACTTCTCCTCAAGTCCCTCCCGGCTATCCTTTCCATCCTTGGTTAGGAGTGGTATCTGCTCCTTGGTGGCATTTTATGGCCTTAGCTGCATTTTTGTGTTTTTGTCCATAATTTGCACATTGCGAGGCAGCAGAAAGTTGCCCCGCGTCGAGTCGGCGTGTTGCAGTTGCCTTCTTTCATGGCATTCATATTTCAAGTGCGCTCCGTGTGATCTCATAATTTCAATGCCTCCGAAAAACTTGGACTGCGCATAATATTGCCGCCACTTTGTTTGGCCAAGTGTTTAGCTCAAACGTTAAAAATTAATTAAATTTCCTCCTCGTCCTCGCTCAGCGAAATGACGTTTTTTAGTTGGCTGCCCCGTTGTTATTTTCATTCATGCCACAGTCCGTGGCGAATACAAATTGCATTTTGTTTCTCGAGCAAAGTCTTGCACCGCTCCTGGCATCTTGGATTTGTGTAGTGCCATGAGCATTGACGGCAAAAGCAATAAATACGACTTATGGCACAATAACTTTCTTAAACAAAGAGCCTGCATTTGGCTTGGCGCACTGAAAAGGATGAAAAAGGATCAACTTTCGGGCAACGATTTATCAAGCAGAGTTTCAAATAAATTCTCTGCTTAAGTTTCCCGAAACTACCTACCAAGTGCACTATTTAGTCGCTATATGGTCTGATAGAAATTCAAACAATAAAAATACATTTTATTGTTTTTTCAAAAGCATTTACGAATCCGTGTTAGACATTTCCGCGATGTATCTGCCATGTTTCTGTGACTCTGTTGTTTTGTGGTCCTGGGTTGATCTGTTGATTCCTTCTGTTGCAAGTCAAATAAAATTTGTGGCAATAAAAATGTAGCCGGGTGGCAAGTGCAACACCCCAACAACAAACAGAGAACAGCAATAAAAACTAGTGACAATGTTGATTGACACTGACATTCTGGCGATGTCAGTGGCAAAGTCCATCTGGCCATCAATCTATTCAATATTTGCAAATGTGTGTTTTTTGTTTTTTTGCAGGTTAGAGTTCAGTCCTGGATACATGTCCTGTTGCATTCCTATTATTGCCTGTGGCGGCTTAGCGCCCCCATGGACCTGAATGTGGGATATATCCTGACCACAGCCGACAAATTAGCCATAAACATTGGCTTTTCAAATTTTCTGCTGTCTGCTCTTGGACAGCGTTAATCCTTATTGAATTACCAAATGAAACGACCAACTGGAATTGTTTGCGTTTTCTCCCCGTTTCTTTTTTTTTGTTGTCGGACTGTTTCGCCTCGTGTTTATTGCATTTAAAATGCAATTATTTAAGGCACGCGTCCGTAAAATGCCGTTCAACCGACTGCACTAATGAACTGAATCCCGAACTTGTTCACTGTGGGAGTGGCTGGGCCCTTGTCCTCCCAACTGCCGCCGGCTGCCGACTCCCAGCTCTCGGAGTCCTGGAGCTCCGGAGGCATTCGTGCATTGCTGCCAACCGAAAAGGATAAAAGCGAGGAATGCAAAAAAGCAGATAAAATGCCTTTTCATTGTGGGCGAGTCTAGCAACCAGGAGGGGCGATCCGAGGGAGAGCTCCAGGGTGTCCAGGGCATAAGACTGGATTTTCTCTTAGTGGGCCGTTGACTTTATTGATTCAACATTGAAGTTTGGTGCTCCAAGTATCCATGTTCCCCAAGGGCTACAAATGGGACTTGGAAGAGGGACGTGGCTAAGGATTCAAAATAGTTTATTCGAAAATTTAAAATTCCAAATCCATGCAATCATCAATAACTTAAAGATTAATCTTTCCATAAATATTGATTTTCCCCCCTTAAAAAAAAAAACAAGTCGTATAGGCATTCAATATTTTATTGATAGACATTCAAAATTTCAATAGGAAATGCTTTTTTGATTGATTGCCGATTGGCAGTTTCGACGTTGATTTCTCCGCGAATCGTCGCGGCTTATAAATAAAATATCAAAAAGGTACAAATGGCAAAGCCAAAGCCCCCAAAGGGATGCGACTGAAACAAAAGCAAAACGGAAATGTTTATTCCTTCACATCAAATAAAATATGCCATCAAAATGCTGGTTGTCTGGCTGGCTGTTTGGCTGCCGATTCGACACCTTTCCAATGCGTTCTCAATCAGGCATGAATCTCCATCCCGATTCGGCTTTAACATGGACTTGTGCCGTTGACATCAATCAAATGCTAAAGGGAATAAACAGGTGGATCAGGGAATCCGCACATTTTCGCCCTTAAAGCTGGCAGACAGAAAATCAGAGTGTGTATGTGGGTCGAATCTTGGGGGACTTCCGTTGGCAACACCTTTGAAGTGAACTTAGATATCGGAAGGATACCCGAATGACCTGCTAACATCTGATACTTAAGTTAATGATTTCCGATCTTTGTTTTTTCGGATTAACTTCCATCCTTTAGTTTAACCAGAGGCCTTTGCAAACAATTCAATTTCGATTTTGGAAGCGGGCTGTCTGCTTCATTGAACTCACTCCCAGTGCGCGCATCTATCACTTTATATTTATGACTCTGACTGTTCTGAAAAGAGCCAACATACACACACAACAATCGATTCAGAGTCCAGGGAATGGGCTCTTAAAGCCCACTTTGTTGTTATTTATGGGGTTGACTGACGAAAAGCCAAATGCCAAAAGATTAAAAGCAGATAAAATATATTTAATAGCCCCCCAAAGTCCTCTCCCCACCCAACAGTGGGCTGCCCTCCTAAAATCCGATACGATAGGGTGAAAATTAGAGCTAGGAATGGGTAACGATGGATTACCGCAATTAGTGAATAATTTTTTAAGTCGAAATCATTGTTCTCCGATTTCGGTTTTCAATATAATCCCTTCTCTCGACCACTGTATCGGGGGTATATATCAAACATTGACATGCGGTCAACAAAGTGCGTTCAATGACGTGCATAAAAACCAGCAGTAACAGGCACTCAATCAGGCAGCGATGGTGGCAGGGGTCATCCTGCCATGCCAAGGACCTCTGGCAACAACAAAGAGCGGTGAAATATTGTCAAGTAATCGCTGTCCGAATACGCGTCCAATGCCTTGGCAATATAAAGACGTTCAACGACGTTGTAAAATGCTTGAAAGCGCTGGAAAATATATAAACACTGACTAACAGGTTTATTGTGGGTGGCCAGCAAGCCATTTTGATGGTTCAAGTGGCCAGCTATTGACACTTAAGGGGGAGTTATAGTTATACAAGTTATAGTTTAAGAAAAATCAATCAAGTTTCAAAGTTTATTACATCTAAGCCCTATCTTTATTAATAAACCACAGAGTGGTTACGGACTATTTCATCAAATGTCAATGGACTGAGGACCAAATCAATAAATTTACCAGCAAAGTAACCACACACACTCACCCGCAACGAACTATTAAATGCAGAGCATACTTTCCGGCACTGGAGAGCAATTTTCTTTAATGCCACCCCAAGCCCCAAAAACCTAAATCCGAACCCAGGACCCCTAGACCCCTAGACCCCAGAGCCCAAAGCCCAAAACCCCCAACCCCTGATTTCAGTTCTCATTATGATAATGTATCCAGTGCCAGTTTGGTGTTCGCCGAACGCACAAAATAAATGAAAACATAAACCCGACTAACCAAAAAACTGATTACTACATGCTCTTTCTCTTTCTACTCCCCCAACTCACTCTTTTTCTATCTCTTTCTCGTTACTGTTTCTATCCCACTCCTGACAGGCAACCATGCTGGGAACAATGGCGATAACAATCAAACGCCCGTGCGTAATCCGCCCGGAGCATTCCACAATTCTGCAGGCTCACTGGCGCAACATAATCTACTTGCTAAAATAATGCGCGGCATTAAAACGCAATCATTTGGGATTTTGAAACGTTTATCGAGTTCTTTGCCGGCGGGGCCCTCGCTCTGGCTGTCGACGTTATCGCTGCCATCGCCAAGTCGGTGGCGTATGAGTAATATGGAAAGCCGACTCCGTTCACCGGAGACTATTGTCAACAGGGATGCCGATGCGGATGCGAAGGACGAATATTGTTGGATGGAAAATGCCACCAGAAGCAGCACAAAATTGGGGGCGTGGCGATTGCGCATATTTCACATTGCTCATACGCCGTGTGGACCGTCAACAGGGCAGTCGAAATGCCAACGCCTATACCAACGCCAGTGGCAATTGCCATGGAACTGGAAGTGGCAGTGGCAGTGGCACTCGCTGTGCCAGTGGCCAATGCTCATTTGCATAGTAATATTGACTGGGTGTTTTGTTCGGTTGTTGCTGCATTTTATCGGGCACCACATCGCCACATTTTCTATTAGCACAACGCATAGGCAACATTTAATGTGCACATTTTGGGCCACTCGTGGTAATAAGCTTGTCGCCGAATACACCACAGGCACCGCAGGCACCGCATTCACCATGCCCTGTCTGCAAAAGTTTTCAAGATGAAATCAAATAATTGCAAAAGCAAGAGCGAACTCATTTAGGGCACAAGAGTAACTTGAAAAAGAAAATCAAATCGTGGCCAGACGACAAGGACTAGAAGGACTTCAAGAAGCAGCCCAAACAACCGCAGTGGCGATGTACCCAAGGATACATGCACTTGGTATTTGGAAATGTTTATATTAGAGCGTAAAATGAAAATCATGTTAAATCACTGAGAGAATATGGCAGAAAACTTGGCCCAGACTTTAAAGAATACTCGTTTCATAAATGTGCTAGTATTTCGAAATAAATGTTTTGATATACAAAGAAAAAATAAAATGCATAACTAATGATATATATTTCCTATATTATTTCTCCTTTTCGACAATTATCTTGTTTAAAATTGGTAAAAACCATTTGACTTTATGATAATTTATTTAAAGCTACATTCAAGACTATGACAACATTTGAAAGCAAACATAGCCGAAACGGATATGTGGAGTTCTGTGTAAACTATAATAGATCCAATTAAGCGGAAATTAATAAATTGTAGACCACAAAAAACAGACAAAGCAAACATGACAAAAAAGCGGAAAAACGGTTAATCAAATTTGCATTTAGATGAAAGTATTTACGCATACCCATACATAGCGAATTTACATAGTAAATTTAGCATAATTATAATACGAGAATGAAAATTTAAATAAAAAATTCAGAGCTCGCAAATAACAGTTGACAGTTTCTTGTAGTCACCAAAAAACTGTTTTTTGCATATCAGGTGCGCAAAAGGTCACACTAGAACCGTTCACCTGTGTCTTTTGAACGAACGGTCTGTGCTCAACCAAAAACAAATTTTTCGTGTCCTTTTTGCTCGGGTCATTCGCTGACCATTTTGCAACGAGCGAAGAAAATAAAAGTCTTTTGCCTTTGTATGAGTGTATGTATATGCGAATGACTTGTAATTTTCATGTTGCAAACCACACTTTAAATTCTCTACTTGTTGTTAAGCTAAATACTGAATAAATAATAAATATAATGTAAAGATTTAATACATATGGGCAATTCCATAGACACGCACGCGACAACAATTTCCCTAGTACCATATCACATTAAAAACAAGTCCTATGAAAAGAAATCAGTTTTATTAAAAGTAAAAAAAAAAGAATTAAGTATTTTCAATAGTTTCTGATTATATCTCACAAAAAAGTTAATATAAGGCGACTTTAAAAAGCACGCTTTTTAGAAAAAAATGCAGTCTGTGGTGCTTTTGTTAATATTTTTCGATCACATGATAAGTGATGCAATTTATGAAGTCCAGAAATACACAGGACTTTCCTCCATTTTTTATTTAAGAGGGTTGTATAATAAAAATATAAAATAATATATAAAAAATTTAACTATTTCTTAGTTTAAAAAAGTTTATACAATATGGATTTATTATCCATATTGCCCATATGTTAAAGCTGTTACTAAACGTTATTTAAACTCTACTAAAAACAAAAGACCATTTACGATGAGTTTTTCGTTTTTTCGCTCATCAGCTGACACTCAATGAGTGAGCGTTTAGTTGAATCGCTCACTCTAGGTTGTTGTTGAGTGAGCATAAAAACAACCCCTAAACGGAGAACAGTTAACCAAAAACCAAAACATGGAGCAACAAAAAGTTCAGTTCAGAGCGAGAGCACACGAGTATTGTCTTTTTTTGTTGTGTTAGTGAGCAGATCGAAACACGAAAAACGGTCAACTGTTATTTGCGAGCTCTGAAAAAATTAAGCACAAAAAAAGATACAATTTAAAATAAGTAATTCATTAAACATGCAGTTTGAAGCAATGTTTTTGTTACTGAATAGGCTTAATCATTAATAGGATTTTTATTGCATTTAATTTGTTTAATTTGATGTTAATGAAAAGCACAAATAAGTGAATATGCAACGCATTTCATAGAATTAAAATTGAGTTTAATTTCCACCTTCCATTTGTCACTCTTCCCACAACTGTAAATAATTATATGAAATAGACATTAATGAGTATTAATTGAATTTAATGAAACCCCGCTGTACATAAGAAGTAAGCTCTAATTGTATAAAGACTAAATATAATTAACTTAGCCAAGATGGGCTCTGGTCTGTGGCCCCATTCATACTAAACGGAGATTTAAATGGATATTATCAATGTCAGTATCGAAGCCTATGTTTTCATTTGTAAATACCTTCCGAACATTAAATATTAAAAGTTGAAATAAATGTTGAAATGTTAATGAAATAAAATATATATGTAAATGTAGTGGCCCGAAAGGCAAAGCGCAATGAATACCAAAAATTGCAGTTAAAAATTAACAAAAAATCTATCATTTAAGCGTACGTAAGCAGCTCAATAAAAAAAGATGAAAAAACAGGATTATACCGGACTCCTTAGTTAGTTATATAATAGCCTATACATTATATTGAGCTCTAAATATGTGGATAAGTGGAAGCATATCTATGTGAAATACTTGAATGTAAATGTATGAAAAAGTTTACAGCAGAAATAAAAAGAAACAAAAAAGCAGCATCCCGCAAGGACATTTTTAAGGAGCCCACGGCTTTGAGGCAATTATGCAATTTTCCGAAAGTAACCAAGTAGAACAATGAAATAAATTGCAGCTGTTGGGTCCAGGTCTGGATTTAGTTCCCAGAAGGTTACCCAATGCCAGAAAAAGCTTTTTTAGTTTTTGCCAACTAAATAGGGTAGGGAAAAAAATGTCAAATTAAAATGAGAACATAATATATGGTTTTTGTAATCATTCCATACCTGGTAAAGAAACCAAAAACTACCGAAAACAATAAACGTAAAAAGAGACAAAAGCCCTGGCAAGGCCACAATAGGGAAAAACGAGAGTATGTTTAAAAGCGGGACAAACCAATTTTCCTCCTCTTTTTTTTGGCTTTTGTTGCAGCTTGTTTATAGAAAATGTGGCAGCTTGTGCTGCATCTGAGGAAACTGTTACGACTGCCATTGAAATGCCTTCGTGTGGAAATGAGCGAAATTTCCAAGCAATTAGCAGTGGCAGAATGGAGTATGCCAACTGTGCGACGAATTATCGTAATTTGCCTCGGGCTTGCGGCATTTAGTACACTGCGTACGAGAAATATGTTATACTGTGCGTATGAGTAATGCGGTTGCAGGTTAAATTTTCCTACAACTTTAAGGTTAAATATATTCATTTAAATTGCCTGCACAAGCCTGACATCACCAAGAGAAACAAAATAGGTGCCACTAACAAAGTTGGGGCACGTTAGAGTTTCTCACCTTGCCTCTTTTGTTTTCCATTTTTCCCCGCTGCTTTTAAGAGGCAACGACGAATCCTGGGACGAATGCAAGTGGAAAATTCAATTTGTAAAGTGCATAAAAGTAGCATCAACCGACTCACAACGAAACCGACGAGGCACGGAGTAGTCAGAGTCAGAGCCATATGTGTGGCAGCTCAGGGCTCTGGATATTTGTTGTTAAACAAAAGCGGCAGCTACCTAGAGGCATGCCTCCCTTGCCCAGTCACTCTGCCCCCCTGTTGCCTGGAGCTGTTTACACATGCTGCAATAACAAAAGCGGCTGCGGACTCCAAGTTGCAAGTGGCATAAACGTGAATGTGGCGCCAACAATGTAATTAAATCTGCGTCAACATAAGCGTTGCCTGCTGCTCGGAGGGGCGAATGCGAATGGCCAAAGAGGAACAAATGTCGTCGACATTTTTCTCTGCACGTGTCTGTCTGTGTTTATCCCCCTGGATGTTCTGACTGTTCACTTTTTGGCCCAGAGAACAAACCTGGTCTAGTACGGGCTCAATCAAGGCTAGCAGGATGAAAAGCAACTCAATTTGTAGGCTTCTGTCTATGTGGTCTTTGTTTGTTTCCCGGATGGGGAAATGATATTTCCATTTGATAAAATTCTATAAATCAAACAAGGATTTATTAGCAATTGCATATCAAAGAATAAATTTTAACTTTAAATACTAAAATCTGATATGGTTTAATTCGAAATAAATTACCACATATTGCTTTAAAAGCTGACGAGAATTTATAGATGCATGCTTTAAAATATAGCTCTCTTTCTGACTATTTCTACCCACATTCATCTTACTTGAGTTATGTTAATTTTCATTGGGCCAGCACGCATATTTGCGGCAATTAAGACAAACTGAAAACGCATAAATCACGCATACGCCCCATTGGGTCCGTTTATCCTGGCCGACTGCCTGCCGTCCTGCCCGGCTGACCTGATTTGCTTCGATTAGACAAACCATAAATATCCAGTGTTAGAGCCTTTGCCCCGCTGGAGTGTTTGGTGTCATAAAAGGGTTAAACATCCGCCACACCCCGCTCTGGCCTCCTAAGCATCTTGTCTTGGCCCGGCTCAGTTTATTAAGCTGTAAAATATTTTGACAGAGGTCGGAGGATGGCAATTACCAGGACGGGTAATACGAGTGGTAAACCAACAAGAGGATTCGGGCTGGTAATGGCCGGATGGAGGGCATAACTTAACGTTCGCCAGTGTTGACGTCCTAACGTCCTAAAGTCCTTTGGCGCCCACTTATCATATCGCTCTCGTCTCCGGAGCGACACGCACATGCGCCAGCAATTATGCTAAAAGCGTTGAATTTATAGTTGCCCGCTCTCCCGATGCGTGTGGCGGCCTTTGAGCATTTTTAACATGGCTCAACCTCTTGGTCCTCAGCCAGCATTGGCCACTAAATAAATGGCTTTTAGAGCACGCGTTAATGATGTTGATTGTGGCCCAGGGAGCCCATAGCCAAGAGCCCAGTAGTCGCGATCCTGCCTGGATTCCATGTTTAATGTTTTATGGCAGTGCGGCTGGAAGGGCTGGGAGGGAAGGGCAGCTCGTTCCTGTTCCTGTTGGTCTCTGTCCGGTTTATTTTTATGATGATAGATGGCCCGGGCTCTCACCTATTTGGTATCTCGCTAGTGCCTGTTGTCAGAAAGGATTTAATGCCTTATTTATTAGAGGTGTAAATGCAATCACATGTGTGTGCCGGGACGGGCGAAAATGTGGACACTAGACGCTTTTTAATGGCTTGAATGTCGCACAACCCAGAATCATAGAGAACTACGAAATCTAGATCCATAAAGGTATGATTAATTGGGGATTTGCTAATATTTTATGGGATTTTCTTAATGGCAACTCCATTTTATGAATTGGCTAATGGCTTTTAAAACTTGTATTCCCCCTAGCTCAAAATATTATATTATTGCTTTTGCAAGCCCCTTCAAATATTCAAAACACTAGGCACTTAAAAACCAAAATGGGCATAAAACTGCAACTAGAAATAAATGGGAAAAAATTGCAAAATTAAAGTGTAGGAAAGCGCAGTAGCATCCACAGCTTTACGGGAAGCCTGAAAGAAAAATCAAGGAAAACGAAAATAGAAAGAAAAACATTTGCAGCCCAAAACTCATCACTCAAAGGCTGGGGCCAGTCCAAGGCATGCCCACGGCTATACCTCTGAGCCACCCGCCCAGTCTGTGCAACAAAAAAAATCCACATAAACAATCCGGACGCATTGAGAGCTGGGGCGGAGATTGGGGCTCGACCAGCAAAATGGTTTAAAACTCAATTAAAGTTTTAGCCGCAAAATAAATGCAAAAACGACGACGGCATCGCCGACAGGAGGGAAAAAATATAAACAAACAAAACCCGAAATAGGAAAAAAACAAATAACAACGATTTGGGTTTACAAACTTTTTATAAATGTTTGTTTGATAGTTTGTACACTCTTTTTTTTTAAGATTTAAAAAATTAAACCAATTTTTTTGACCTAGATAATTGTATGTGATTTTATTAAAACTGGGTACTATTATTCTTATTTGTTTAAAAATTATTCTTTTATTTTAATTAATTACTTACATAATTAACAACAACTTAATGAGAAAATTGTATGCCAACTAAAATTTATTTTATTTAAATTATTTATGGCTCGCTTTATTTTTGTTCTTGTATTTTTTTTAAAGTTTAACCCGAACTTTTTTAATATCCTCCAGTTTTGTTAGAGAAACCAGCTTCGCATTCCGCCGTGGAAGGAAAACTCTCAAAGTGCGGCCATCAACGCTTGCCACACCCAAAAGAATGGCCGCCCCCTCCTCTAACCATGGCACTTTTGATGGCTGTAATTCAAATGAAAATTACACAAATGAATTGAATTTCCGAAAAATGCAGTAGCAGTAGCAGCAGCAGCTAAAGTGTAGAAGGAAAAACTTTGATGAGCCCCCGGATCTGGTTTGGGAATGAGCGTAATGATTGTGTGTGTGAATGTTTGTTTGTTTGTTTGTTTGCGATTAGTTTACGCGCCCCTGGATCTCCTGGCGCTATACCGCCTTTGGCAATGGGCTATGCACCTCGTTTGACTCGCTGCTGTCGATTGGAGTGGCGTTTTTGGCTAACGAGTTGCTCGAGAGTTTCATGGTAAGTGAGTTTTGGCGAAATTTAATGGCGCATTCTTGCCACACGCCGCTTCGGCCACAAGAGTTTAAATTTGTTTTATTGGAGCATGAAATCGGGTTTTTGTTCTAAAATGTTCGGTATAGTAGGCATGTTAAGTGGCATGAAAAGTTTACAAAGCTGGGTGGAGGAAATCGAACCGTTTCAATTTACTTACTCATTGCTGAAAATATCCTCCTATTTATGGGGAACTGAGAATCAACAGAGATACAAACTCCTGGCACCTAATTTAAATGCAGAAATGTTATTAATATTACGGCATTTAAGTGGCTGGACATGCATTAAAATGGAATGCCCCAAAATGCGGTACTGTGTTAATGACTCATTACACATGCAACACCACCGAATGGGCAACGATCCCGGCAAACGGCAACGGCAAACTTTGCCCACAATTTGTGGAACGCGAATGTGGCTAGAATGCGGCAAAACATTAAGTTGAATTATGCAATAAAAAAAATAATGCAATAATAGTTAAACTGGCACATGCCCCAAACATTTTGGGGCCACTGGAAAATGGGCAACTTCTGCCAAAGGCATGGGCAACGCCTTTAATATCATTTTATGGGTTTTAGGTTTTAATCGAGACTATAAAACAAAACATTTATTAAAAACGTTTAATCTACATTTTTTATAACACATAACGATTACAAATGTTTGCCCAAAAAGTCTTTGTCAGTAAAACAAAAGCTTCTAATTATTAAAACTGATTCAAAACACACCGTTTAATATTTAAAATGTCAACATAAATATTTCAGTACGTATACCAGGATCTGAAAATTCGATATAGAAACATTTATTTATTTATGAAAATTTATAATTTTAAATATTTTAACTTTAAACACAAGAGAGAAGTCCAATAAGAGGGTTAAATGATAAATGAGACGCAACATATCTAGTAACGATACTGAAAACTGGGATCCGAACCATAGACAATGCAACCGCATGGATAACCTGTAAGAGGTGTTCAAGGTGAGTCAACATATAGAATAATAAAAATCATTAAACAAACGCTTGACAGTTAATCAGTAACAAGACACAGGTGTATATATATTTGACATTTATTTGTGACACCAACAGATCATACGTACTTTTATGAAACAAAAACACAATTTATACAAGGCTTATGTTAATAAGAGAATTATACGGTTGAGTGTGGTAAGAGTAGGTTGAAATTTTCAAGATATTTTCAAAACGGCTTAGTATTTCAGGAACGCACACTCGAAATCGTGTGGCGCTTGTGGGTTGTGATTGTGGTGCCACCACCCAGCTTAATCTCTAGCCACCAAACAAGGGGAATCGGGTCCAAACTACTTGGCCAATGCTGTTTATGGCGACTGTTTGTGTAAATTTTGAAAGCATAAAAATAGATCAAATAAATGTATCTCGTGGGTTAATTAAACACAGAATAATTAGGCATAGATTAAAAAGTTAAGAGAGTGGAGAGATACCAATAACACTAGCAAACTTGCCTCAGCCTTAGGGGCTAACATCTGAAACGAAATAAAAGTTGATAAATGGTCGCAGTGTGGCAGGTGTTGCTTATTGGTATTTCCTCGATTTTCAAGCTCTGGCCCGGCCAAAAGAAAATTAGCTAAATTCATCAGTTTGCGGAAAAGCCTCTAGCAGATAGTCGGCAATAAATTCACTTAGTTACAGCACACAGACATACAGGTATAGTACAGTACATTAATAGACATTTACAAGCTCTAGTTGTCGCTGTCGTAGCGCTCAGATGCCATCACCCAATGCACAAAATTGCAACACTTGAACTTGCCTCGCGGTTTGCACTGCAGGTGCTCTTTGATGTACTGGCAGGGGCACTGGAACTGTCCGCAGTGGCGTCCCGGCTCCAGGGGCGTCACGTCCACCAGCCCCCGCAGCGCCTCCATGCCCCAGCGGGAGCCGTATCGCAGGAACAGCTGCATGCCCCGTTCCTGCAGAAATTGGGAGATTGGGAGAGCGGGCGGTGAGACACAGAGGGGCAAACAGATATAGCGGATGTGGGGTGAGTTGGGTTAGGAACACGGGTTTCATTATCAGATGGTATGGAGTATGGATGGTGCGGATTAGTAAAAAAAAACGGTAGTGGATGCAGCCTACCTTCAGGCTGCACCTGTAAAATACATTACATGTTACATGCATATCATTAAATTAAATTTTGCATATACAAAGTTAAAAGATAAGAATAAAATTATAAGAAAAAATTCATTAAATAAAACTATAAATTCCTAGAAACATTATTAAAAAAATAAAAACCTCTGCTATTTCCTATCTTTTGTGGATCAAAGATAAAAAGGCCAATACTTCAATAATAAATATAAACATGTCTATGATATTTTTCTCAAAAGCTCTATTTAAATTTCATCTACAAATTTATAAATCAAATAGTTAAAAAAACTATAATAATATAGCACTTTCTGAATAAAAACATATTTTTGAAAAAGAAGACAATTTCTGTGGGTTTTCTGGGCAATTTAATTGATTTTCCAGGACTATACACGAAACATTTCAGGATTACTTGTGGATTACGCAGGATCACAGCCAGCAGCCCATGCAGTTGATGCCACAGCATGTGCGGTGCTGGAGGCTGATCTTGATCTTGTTGCGGAGCAGCTCCTCCTCGTACTGACACGGACAGATGGACGACTGGAGATGGCGGGGCGTCTCATGGACGCCGGCCTCCTGGACGGTCCAGTCGAGACGGCGGCGCAGGAAGTCCTTTCCCCAGCGCTGCAGGTAGCTCAGGAAGAGCTCCTGGGCCACGGCCTAAATAGAGCAGTTAGACATTGATTTGGTGAGGTGCGTGAGTGAGAGTAAGAGATGGTTTGGCTTGGGGGGGATGTTTGGATCAGGGATCTGGGGCTCGGCAGATGGTGATGCAATCGGCTACAAAGCTACTTTCATACACAATACAGTATATGTAAAAGACAGACAACTTACCTCCTTGCGGGGAACTCGAACCGGCTGGCTGCCCTGAATGACAATGTCCTCCAAGTCGATGTCCAGCTTGCGCTCCCAGCCAGCCTTGATGGCCTCGCCGCCATTCTGCTCCGTATGCTCCAGGAACTCATTCAAGAAGCTTACGCATTGCGTGGCATCGAAGTACATGAAACAGAGATTCACCTTGTGGCACGAGATGCGACCCCTATCGTCCAGCACCAGCAGGATTTTGTGACGCATCAGCTGCCGGTTGACCCGAGCCAGACACTTCTCCAGTCCCCGCGATAGGCGCAGCTTAACCCACATGCACAGGAAGATGGCCGCAGCGTTCAGGAAGAGCCAGCCGACCCCGAGGGCGAACAGGGCCACTCCCTGCAGGCCGGAGAAGAGAAGCGCCAGGAGCACGGCAAAGGCGAACAGGATCCAGCAGACCAGGATACGTTTGTAGCAAATGTTGTAAACCGTGAAGCGATAGTCGTTCACCAGCGTCTCCATAGCATTCACATAATCCTCCACGGTGAGCTAAGAAGAAGCATTCGTATTATTGGGGCTTTTCTCGAGCAGTATCCAGAAAACTCACCGTCAGACCCTGGGCCATTAGCTCCTCGGGCACCAATTCCGGCCGGAAGATAGCAGGTGTTATCCACGGCCACTTTGTGTTTGCTGGCAGCAGAGTTACAATTACATCGCCATTCGCTAGGTAATAAAAAGTAAATAAAATAAATATTAAAATTAAATTAACAACCTTTTCTGGCTAGTAATAGTTCCATAAATACCATATTGTAATAATTTTTTAATGGACTCCTGACACGAATTTAAATTATAGTTTCTTTTAATAGACAGTTTAAAATATGAAACTATTAGCTGACGAATAAATTCCGCAGGCTGGAAACCTGTCAGATGTAATACATATATAACATACATATATAGTCCTAGCAACCATACAATCCTAATTATTTAAAATCAATCAAAAAAGTATCAAGACCATTATGGGCTATAAATTTAAATCAAATGAGTGATGCAATCAATGTCTATCAATGTCTTGAATGTGATTCAAATTAAACAGTTTGTGACCTGAATATAGTAACTACTTTAGGTCTAGGAAGGTGGCTTGAAAGTTTTAGAAACCTTTATACTATACTCTAATTTGAAAAGAGTTTATTCTAGTGACTCTATACTCTATACTAGACTCTATACTATTCAATACTCTATACCCTTTAAAAGGATAAAAGAATAACTATTGCCAAAAACGGCGACCTTTTAGGAAAATTAAAACCCAAACGTTTTTAGAAAAAGAATGATGAGGCCGCGACAGTCACTCACCAAATCCCTCACGAATTCGTCCCGTTGACAGTTCAATTGTGCGCATCCCAGAAGCCTGATCCATGGCCGCCTGACCAGCACCAGTGCCGTTGGTGCCACTGCCCCCATTGTGATGATGACTGGAAGATGCCGCTGCAGCCGGCAAGGGGGCTGAGGCTACTTTTTGGTTTATTAGCTGCGGGGGATGTCGTGGGGCGGGCGCCGGACCAGTACCCGGGCCCGATCCAGATCCAGATCCACTTGCACCTCCGGCTACAATGCCACTGCCGGATGCACTCAGATTAACGTGCGTGCTCTCAGTTGTCAAAACAGCGGGCGCCACATCCGGCAATGCTGCCGTAGAAGCATCCACCGGTGTGGCAGCTGTGGTCGAGGAAACTGTGGGGCGCTGTAAACAGAAATGCGAATAATGGGTTAATATTGCAATGGACTTGGCCTCAAGAAAACGGTAGTGCCCCCAAGGTTCAGTCGCAAAGACAGTTATGGAAATGGGCAAAATAAAATCCATTTTATTGATTTTCGGTTTTAGTTTTCAAGCACTACAAGGTGGGCCTATAAATCTAAACACAATTGCCAGTCGAAAGGCACGTTCTCGGTTGACAAAATTGAAACCCCCACCCCAAAAATAGGCGGGCGAAGGCGAACCGCTGCCCACAAAAGGCGTATGAGATCAAATTTATTTGTTTTTATTTTTTGAAATCTAAAAACAAATCGGTTTCAACTACTGTGTGTCATGCCATCTTAGCATTATCTCTGTTTATAGTTGAAAATTGGATACTGGGCTGGCGTTTCTCAAGTAATCTTTCCGGAAAGCCAAATTAAACAGAGATAACTCTTTTATATTTTGATATAAATATTTAACAAATAGCTGACAAAACTAAAATGGCAAACAAGATAGCTTAAGACTTTACCTAGTGTAGAAATAATACTAGTCCTATTAGGTTTAATAATCTAAAAAGTGGAGTGATTTAATCATTTAATCATTCTTGATCTGTATCATTCTATCTTGTTTAGTCATTTGTTAAAAATTTCCTTTATTAAAAGTGTCAGGGTTAAAGACATATGTACTCCCCACAAGCTTAAATAAAAATGTTAAATATTGTCAAGAAAAATATTTAAACAATCGCCTTCTGGCATTGAAATAAAATGTTTACCATTTCATACGTGAATGGAGTTAAAAATAAATTTATGAAACTCTGTAGAATTATAAATGGGATTATTAATGGGACAAACTATAAAGCAAAAATATTTTATTTAATTTTTTGTTAGCATAAGCCGTATAATTCTTGTTCACATATTTATTTGGAATATTTTCTGTGGCATGTTGGAAACTAAATTGAAGTTGAGTCAGAATTTATCACCGGATGAAGTCGGTTTCGGCCTTATTTGTCATGCCTGCAACGTTTCCAAAATCAAGTTAAAAGAAAGTTAAAGAACCGAGACCTTTTCTCAAAACAACTTCATTAAGTACAGAGGTTACTCGATTTAAGAGATTTTGTTGTCGATTATGAAGCTCATGAAGAAGATCTACAGAAAGAGATCTACTGCAATAAGAACGTGTTGGCCCTAACAAAAACCTAGAGCCCTATAGCCCTTGAAGTTATTTAATGCCAGACACCACTGTATCGTGCAACGGGTCGTATGAGTGAGTAAGACGGAGAAAAGGGCCAGCCTGTTATGCATTGGAATGCGTTTCCCTGCGTTGGGTCGTCACCCGCCTGCCGCCGAGAGAGAGTGAGTTGCAGAGAGGGCATGATGAGGTGAGAGTGGCAAGAAAGGAGAGGTGACCCACCTGGACAGGTGTTGTTGTTGTTGTCGTTGATGACGGAGCGTTGGGACTGCGCGAGCGCGCCCTCCTATTGTTGTTGCTGCTCACCACCGATGGTGGTGGAGGCAGCGACAACTTGTTTTGCTGCTGCTGCTGCTGCGGTTGTTGTTGTTGTGTTGGTTGCTGTGTGGCATTGCCGCCGTTACTGTTATTATTTTTTTCACCGCTGTCCGCCTCGTCGTCGAATTTAACCCAATTTTTGGGCGTCTGTTTGTCGTCATCGTTTTCTGAGCCAAGAGAGACATCCTCCAAAGGATGGCTTTGCTGCTGCGGCGATGGCTGCTGCGCCTGCGTCTTGGCCTCCTCCATTTGGAATGCGGAGCGCGTGCCTGGGATGTAGCTTTTAAAGCTGAGCGTGTGACCTGACTAATGCAGTTGCGTTTTTTGTTTTCTATTTCTGGCCAGAGGCTTACATAACCTCAATATAAATTCACACTTGAGTTGCTACTGCTGCCTATTATCAGGTTGCTGTGTTTTTTTTTCCCTATTTTTCGCTTTTTTGCCGCTGCACTGCGTGCCGTTAACGTGTTGGCCGCTCGCGCGTTCACATTGAACTGCCGCTGCTGCCGCGCCCAGCAACAATAACGCTCCCTCACACACACAGATAAACAAACGCACAGATACGAATGTATCTTGGCTCAGAGCGAAAAGCTTGGCTCAAAGGCGCGCTCAATAGGTGTTCCGCTACCAAGTGTTCCCCAGTGACTATCTCACCTGTTGCCGGAGCTTTTCAATTCTCAAAATATCTCACGTACGTTCTTCTCTCTTCATGCACTTGAAAGTTTAAGATACATTCTAATAAAAAGAGTTTAAAGATTCATCTATAACTTACACTTTTAGAAACTTCAAGAAAAAATACAAATAATGTTTATGTTTATCTTTATGAATGAATATTCTTGTTTTCAAAGTTTATTATCTATTTTTTTGGTAGATAATAAAACAATTAGCGATATTGACAAGAAATGACTTGAGGTTTACAAGTTCTATATTTAAATAATGAAGTATTATTTAAAGATTTTACTTTTTTTCACTGTGTGAAGTTTTTGTTTTCGTAGCTCACATGACGAGTTTTAGCTTTTTAAAGTACCAGCCACGGTCCCCTCGCATCTCAGTGACTCACCGCCCATTCCCATCCGAATTTTATCTTTCCCATTTGGAGATCGCTGAGGGAGAATATTTCGCAAAGCGAACACCTCTTCCGCCGCTACTTCTTTTCCGATGATAAGCACCGCCGCGTTGTCTCCGATTTCAAAACCAATAAACACTCTTTATCAGGGGCAATTAAAGGGGGTTGCAGTAGGCTCAGATATCGGTCAGATGTGAGTGGGTCTTGAGCAATTTGTACACTTTTCGCCGTATCTCAGCCTCTCAGACAGTCAATTTGCATAAGCCGCAGGTGTCGCAGATTGCACTTGAAACAGAAAATTATTGTATTAAGTCATTGCTCTGAGATAGGCAGAATCAGGGAGTCGCAAGTATAGATCTCTTAAAAAAATCTTCCACTAAGTCCAGACCTTTAATATTTTTTCCCTAAAATATCTTTAATTTCAATTTCCCAACAAATTTTCTAAAGAACATTTTCCCTTCGCATATTTATGGCAATATTTTAGTAAAATACCAAACGAAGAATGCAATTTAAAATCAATTTTGACGTTTGTTATGGCATTCGGTTCGTTCCGATCGGGTCCTGTTTTCCATGTTCCCCTTTCGATAAGCGGGCCACCATGAATTTATGGCAACATCGACGATGGTCGGAGGCGAGAGTGGGTGGGGAAGGATGTGGCAAAAGGATGGGCTGGGACTGGACCACATAGTTCACGCCTGGCCGGAGCAACAAACATTTTTTGGCTCGAATAAAATGTAAAATGCTGGAGCCCACAACATTATAGTGGCAATTGTTCGACTGGGCAGCCACAGAAAACTTTTGCCGTCCATAAATTATGCTGGAAAATTATTATATAAACGGACAGTGTCGGGCGGCGCCAAAGAAATTGGCCCACAGCCAACGAAATGGGAGATACATACAACGAAGGCAGAAGAAAGGGGACTGTTCGTCCGACCAACTATTGGCAAAAGTTGTTAAGCAAATTATGGCCTGGCACTGAGGCATTTGAAAATGTTACAGCTAAAGTTTTGTGCATGTGGGAGTCCTGAATGGGATGCAATATGCATAAACTTTAGATGGTCATCTATGAGGCACTTAAATGCATCTGACAAGGCGATGAAAGGATCTATGCAAGCCATCTAACAATTAAAGTGAATAGGCTTACTTATTATAATAGTACTACTAATAATAACAATACCTCTGACTTATAAACAGTATAAATAATTTAAAAGACAATTCAAAAATATAGTATGTACTATAATTTCTTGAATATCCCTTCTCAAAACCTTATAATTTAGTGTACTTTATAAGTTTTCAGCCCCCCCTCTACTTACCTAAAATAAGTCCTTTCTACTCAGCCATAAATCGCTCAACAGGCCGAAAATCCTTTGTGCCACCAGCCCGTAGGGAAGCCACAAAATATCAAGAAAAAAACTGCAGCTTCGGATGAAGGGCTGAGAGTGCGGAAGGGGGCGGCTGGGGAGCAGCCAGCGAAGAGTCTAATTAGGCAAAATTAATTGCCTGCGCTTTTGACACTTGCTAAGACTGAATCGGCCCATCCCACAGTCAACAAGACAGCTGCCAGCGGAACCAAGTACAGCACTCAAAAGTCTATTTGCAACAAGACCACCAGCCCCCCCTTCTCCTGACCAACCCTCCGCTTTTTGGCCCAAAAGAGTAATGTTGGCAATTTGTTGGTCGACGACTTATTAACCCGCAACAGGAGACGAAGAAGTTGGCGGTAACTTTTTGGCCAACGCGAGAATGTCCAACGGGCATATAAATTAGCAGAAGACAGAAGTTTCTGGCTACCACCCGCCACACCCCACACTCCACTCCGCCTTTTCAAGGACCAGCTCTTCTTCTTGTCTGAGGCAAAGGCAGGCAAAGTTTTGGCATCAAAAAATGTTTTCAAATTAAGCTAATTTATATTATATAAACACACTTAATGAGTGAGCCTGCCAAGGCGCTAAAAGGATGGACGCCCGAATGGTCGCCCAAGGGGCGTGGTCTCATAATTTCTATGGCAGAAGTAAACAGGAAGCAAAAACAAATATTATGTACAGAGGCAAGTATTTTCCGTGGCGTTCTGAACATTTTGATTTGCCGCGTCCACCTTTTAAGGCACTTTGGAAATGGCGAAAGTTTCGCAACACCCTTTCTGCGGCTGTTGTTGTTTTGCTTCACAGTTGGCTGGTGGCATTAACGTGACTTGCATAACGGTATGCAGCACGGCTCTAAAGTGTCACCATCGTTGCGATCCTTTTTGCTCCTTGGCGCTTCTTTGGCAGCCCAACTCTCTGAAAATAAAAACAAAATGCAACTGGGGAAACGTGTCACAAACTTTATGCTCCTGCCACGCGTCACGCACGCGATTTTCGCTTAGTTGTTTGTCACTTTGTCGCCGCCTCTCTACTGCTTCTGGTGGTGCTGCTACCCAGATCCTGCCCCAAACTCCTTTTGACTTGGCCAAGAAAAATTGCTGTGGAAATTAAGTGAGCTGGCATTGCCGGCGCGGCATAAATTAGTGTGCCGAGATTGCCGAGCAGAAGCGAATTTTAAATTGGTGTAAAATAATGATACTCCCTTATGTAAAAGTTTTTAAAAGAAAATCATAATTTGTGGGGAAACTAAGATTAAAAGACTTGAGGCATGTTACAGAACAGTAATTTGCAACAATAATTTAAACAACCAATTTATTTAAAAATAAAGTAATTACAAAAATGCTTCCACTTGTTTACCTTCAAGTACCGATCAAAATATAGTTTCAAAGATGAAATTTAATTAAATTAATTACTCCTATCTGGAAATGAGTTTCAGTTTCAATATACTACTGTTGCCGCTCTTGAAAACCACTCCAGCTTATAATAACTCACAACAAGCTGCAGAAGAAGCCACAAGCACACACTCAGAAACAGAGACACTACATCAGTTATGGGAACGGGCCGACAAGAATGGTAGTGACATCACAATGGGCCAACAGCATTCGGACCTGGTCGGTACACCGGCTATGTGGCAAGGGCTTGACTGTTGCCACATGTCACCTTTCATACAACGTACAATCACTTTGGGGTTGCAGCTGTGTGGCTCACTTCACACTGTACGATCTGGCCGAGAATTGGATGTGGCCTAGACAGCTCGGAGGAAGCGTCAAGATGGCCGAGAAGACCGAAAAGTGGGTCAATCCCGGCCCTTGAAGATTGAAACGTTCAGCTGTAAGTGCGGTTGATGGAGATGTCTTTGGCAACGAGCTGACCACCAAGCACATGTATTTGAATATTTGACAGAGGTACAAGTGGATACAAAATGTAGGGTACACTCCCCTGAATGGCACTCAGCCAAAGTGTTAAATGGGAAATGTTTCTTAAAGATTTCAAAAATATTAATTTGATTATTTGTGGAGAAAAATTAAAGACTCTTTCTCCATTTTGTCGTCAGCCACTTGAGCATAAATCATTATAATAATTTAACTAGAGGACCCTGTCGGAATAAAGTCAACGGCGAAAGTTTTTCCCAGGACAGTCTCTGCAGGGACCTGAAATGGGCTAGACAGCTGCTCCTCTTCAGACCAACGAACGCCAAATGCATTTAAGTAGAAAATCCTGCCAAAAAAAAAGAGAGATGAGAGAAGAAGCCAGACGAGGAGATGCCATGATTTAGGGATGCTTAAATGTTTTGGCCCTCTACTCCCTACCGAACGATAAGTTTCTCTTGAGGAAAAACGAGAAGCTGAGGAAAACTATGTTTACTTTATTTAAAAATCCCATGGCAACAACTTTTTCTCGATGCACACCAAATCAGTGGCCGCGCTGACCAAATAAAAACCTCACAACTTGCAACAGCCACAATAAAATCATATTTAAAACTTTCACACCAAAGCGCAAAAAAGAGCGACATATAAAAGGAAAAAACTATATGAAAAGTAGCAAGAAACTTGCAGAATTTCCATAACGAAACTTTCCCGCTAAAAACAAGGGAAAAAAACGAAAAAAGTTAAAAAAATTGTCTGAAAGTAACCAGCAGAAGTTTTATTAAAATTGTAAATATTTGCAAACATTCATAAACCAAAGATTCAATGCGAAAAACAAGGTGTTTCTTGCTTCCAAAGAAAAGAAAATAAATACCCGATTTCAAGGAGAGAATACTTGCTTATTTCCGAACATTTTGCGTACCGTGTCATTTTAATTGGACACGTTGAGGATTTTGGTAACGCCCAGTTAGTCTCGTTCGGTTTGAGACTCAGACTGGGATTTACCGGGCAGTAGGTATGCCGAATATGAAAAAAATGTAGCAACAATATATATGTTTTTTGGTTCTCAACCCAGATCTCGAGCGTTTTCCGCTTGTCTCAAAAACAAAAACGGCAAATTTGCATTGCATAAAATTAAAGCGAGCGGATGTTTAACATATGTAATTTTTGACAAACAGAAAGGCAAGCGGAGTACAGGCACGGGTGAAGA